TCTTTATAGACCCACATGAATCGGGGAATGTTGTGCTCCGCTCTGTGGGCCTATTTGGGAGCCTGGGCTGCTGCTCACTTCAGCAGTCAGCTCTGTTTGGATCAGTTTTGAACCCCAGAACCTTCCACATGGAGGTGATAATTCTAGATAATTCTAGAGCAGCTGCTTATCTATCATGGCTGTATACTAGGCTCTCTAGAGAGTGTTATAAGGAATACTGATGCCTGGGCCCATCCCCTAGAGATTCTGAGTGTTAGGGCTGGGAAAAGAGCACCCTGGGTCATCCTAACCTACAGCTGGGATGCAGAGCCACTGTTCTCAGCTGGAGCTTTTCCTTGTGGGTTTTTTTTTTTTTTTTTTTTTTTTTTTTTTTTTTTTTTTTTTTTTTTTTTTTGAATTGAGCTTACTAATTTTACTAATGGAAGCAGGAGCTTGTTCTGTTTAGCAGCCATGAGAACCACTAGGCAGCAGAGGCTGCCCTTAGCATCTGCTTCACTGGGCTGCACTGGGCTGGGCATTGGCAGTTTTAGGACACAACTAGATGGAGTGATTTTGAAGCAAGTGTTTAGAAGGCGGATAGCTGTGCTTCTGTTCTTCTGACTCTTGACAGAGACATCAGAATCTTCCATAGTCACTTTGGTCTAAGTCCTGAAATTGTTCACTGCCAGCCCTGAGCCCAGCCGGACTATGTGCCTCTGGTTGGACATGTTTGCCATCCTTGAGAACTGTGTGGATGTTATTCGTCTCTTTTCTGGCTTGATGTGTTTCCAAGGAGAAGGCTGAGGCCCAGTAATATTTAAAAAAATGTTGGGACAAAGTTAACCTTACATAATTATGGGGTACATATTTATGTAATATGTATTACTGTTGTGTCTATATGGTGGGAAGGATTGAATCAAGACAATTAACATACATGATTTTCATTTAATCCTCTCTATGTGCAGCTTTGTGCTCTTTGACTGTCTTCTCCTCATCCTCTCACTCCCTAGCCCCTGGTAACTACTATTTTGTTCTCTATTTCTATGAGTTCAGTTATTTTAGAGTGAGATAAATATGTGGTATTTGTTTTTCTGTGCTTGACTCATTTCACTTTACATAACTTTCTCCAGCTTCATATATGTTATCACAATAGGATTTCCTTCTTTTTCATGGCTGAATAGTATTCCATTGTGTGTGTGCCACATTTTCCTTAGCCGTTTCTCTCTTATGGACTCTTAGGTTGATTTTGTATTTTGGCTATTGTGAATACTGCTGCAGTGAACATGGGAATACAGATATCTTTTCAACATAAATTTGTAAACTTTCTAAAAATATTATGAGGTGTTTTTTTTGTAATTTTTTGTTTTCAGCTCATCAGCTATCATGAGTGTTAGTATATTTTTTGTGTGACTCAAGACAATTTATCTTCCGGTGTGGCCCAGGGAGGCCAAAAGATTACACATCCCCCCTCTAGAGGTTCCTGGATGAAGGTGCTCTTTTAACCCCTGGAGACAGGACTTTTTTTATTTCTGGAAATTTCATAACTTTAAACATGTTCCACTCCTTTATTTCAATTCTCTATTCCAGGGGCATTGATTTCGTGTATTTTAGATCTTCTCTGTCTTTCTAGTATTTTTCTGTTGAATTCCTGAAGTCTTTGTTAATTCCCATTTCATTTTTCTCAAGCTCCTCAGACCCTGTCCCCTGTGCTGCCTGCAGTGTTAATGCCCATTAACTTTTCCCTGCTTGATATAATAGCCATCACTTCTGGCCTTTTCCCCTGATCTCTGCCAGCTTATCATTGTTGTCTCTTCTTACCCCTTCCTCTCTTCTGAGCTGTAATTTTAACAAAGTGATTATTCTGTTAATTTCTTTGATTCCACATCTGTGAGCGTGGTCATGACTTCATCTGCCTTTTGGGACATTTTTCTAGTGAATACTGTTGTCATTTGTTTCTCCTGTTCTTTCTCTTCTTTAATTCTTTTAACATAATTATGCAGACCCAAGGTAGGATTCTCATCTTTGAAATAAATCATGGAGGGGCCTGGGATGTGTTCCAGTCTACCAGAATATTTCCTCCCTTCTCAATAATGTCGTGTGTGTGTGTGAAAGAGAGAGTGAAAGAGAGAGAATGAATTGGTTTAATACGTATTTCTCCCCAGTGAGTCTGCCAGCCATTCAGAGCCTCCTCTCTCCAACACTCCAAGAAATGGTTGGCTTTCCATTGCTGTGTAGATCCTTCCGCTCCACAGGCCTTGGCTGAAGTCTACAGCAGCCCGTCCCCACTAAGGTCTTCACGATCCCAGAGCGAACATAGCTGCGTTTGGCTCTGCTGTCGCGCATCGTTGCTCAGGATCAGGGGTGCCTGCTGGCTCCATCGTATTTCTCTTTTGGGTTCTCATTGCAGGGTCATTTCAGAGAGGAGGAGGCAGTGTCTCTGCCAACACTCAAGCAATCTGATATTTTGATATTTATCTTACAGAGGGAAATCTAGAGCATGTGGCATCGAACCCGATGCTTCCGCCAGCCTCTCTGACGGCCAACCAGGACATTTTGTTTGCTTCGATCCATTCGGCACATGGAGTTATGGGGCCCCTCCCAAGTGTCAGGGGTGGGGTGAGGTGGGGGGGCTGTCGCGGCAGCCGGGATGCTTCCCTGCACTTGAACTGTTTACATTTACAGTCAGATCGTAAAAAAGCATGGGAGCCGCCTGGGTCATGCATAATCTCATTTATTCGTGACAGCAACCATAGGTTGTTTCCAGCTACACCCTTTTATGGATGAGAAAGTGGAGAGTAATGTGCTCAAGGCTGGCTAGCTCGTGAGCAGGAGGCCGGGCTCAGGCCCTTCTGCTGCCCCTTATTTAGGCTGCATGGCCTTGTCTACCCTGCAGGAATTATGCTGACTCAGCTGTGCAGCTTGCCTGCAGCAAATATCAACCCTCTAATAGTAAATCAGGCAGAGTTTTCTCATGCCATCAGCTGATTTTTGGCATATGTAAATAAAACTTATGTTTTTGAGAGTAGCAGGAAACACTTTGTTAGAAAACCAAATGAATACAGGGAGATATGGCTACCAGGAGCTGAGACTGATATTATAATTTTCTAAGTATTAGTATCTCTGTATTGATTTTTACAGTAATTTGTACTTTTCCATCCAGCTTGTGACCACTGAGGCCCTTTGTGAATATCTTAGAAGTCACTCAAAATAAAGAATGAATCTGAGTCACACACAGCAGTCTTACGTGAGATAATACATGGTCGATCCTCAGTATTCGTGGCTTCTGAATTTGAGAATTTGACTCCTCACAGCCATTTATCTGTAATCCCCAAATCAACAACCATGATGCTTTCGTGGCCATTTGAGGTCCTACACACAGTGTATTCGTTTGTTTTCACTCTGCTGATAAAAACTAAAGAGGTTTAGTTGGACTTACAGCTCCATGTGGCCGGGGAGGCCACAGAATCATGGAGGGAGGTGAAAGGCACTTCTTACATGGCAGCAGCTTCTTGTTCCCAGCTCCAGGGAACAAGAAGCATCTCCAGGTTAGGCAGGAAAGCCCCAAGCTTTGCATTTGGACTATGAGTGCCTTTTCACCACCACCTGAAGATGGTAGCTAAGAGAAGAGGCGGGCTTCAGATGTTGGCTCCACCACTTACTGTGTGTTCCTCAGCAAGCCAGTTGACCCTCCCGAGCCACAATGGCCAGCTCTTTAAATTGAGGATAACAGTAGTATCCATCACTAGGGATGCTTTCCAATCAGTTGATACCCTGTGAGTCAAGTGCTCACCGAAGAGCTGTTTTGCATTGTCCTCATCACCTTCATCACCATGGTTATTCTGGCCAGCACTAGAGACATGCTCCCAACCTCCTTGTGGCTCAAGTTCATCTTCTATAAAATGAGAAGCTGTTTTTCACAAAGCTGTCCTTTTCACAAGTTTGGGGTGCAGGTGCAGATTGTCTGCGGTTGCTTTTCTGAACACTTCCCTCACCCTCGTGAGACTCCTAATCCCACCCCAGTAAACTCATCAACATGATTCCTTCCAGCTCCCATGGCTCTGGAGAGGATTCCTTTTTATCTTGCATTTCTAGTGATGTTTTATGGCCTTTTGTGAAGTGGACCCTGGCTGAGCTTCTGGCTCTTTTTGAGTGTGGGGAATATCACAGACTGCAGTGGGAAATTCAAAAGCTGCTTGCTTCACAGGGCATGGGAATGTTAGTAGATGCTTGAAACGTACCCTGAGGTAGCTGGTCAGAGGCGCTCTGTAAAGCTGCATCTGTTGCTAGCATCATGAGCAGCTCTCTGCCCAGGAGGCCTGGGAACAGGGACAGAGAGTGCCAGCATCTTCCTCTGCCCTATACATTGGCCTTTCTGCCATCAAGACCATCTCTGCTTGACTTTTTCAGTCTCCTGTCTGGGAATTAGCATCTTGAGGTCTCCGTTAAGATCTTTTCAAGGACACCCTTCCTATTTGGTTCAATCTTCTGGTTGAATTTGATACATGTTATGCTGTAGGACTTTTTAAAAAACATAAAATAATCAGGAAAATGTTGCTATACCCATCCTAGCAATTCAAGGCCAAGTTCATTTTGATAAAAACGCTTGGGAAAGGGCATTTCCAGGCTGGCCAAGCACTAAATGGCCCAGCCGTGTCCACTGATTCACTCTTAAACTGGTGTGTATTCTGGAGGGATCTATGTCTCAGAGCATTACTTCATTTTGAATGTGCAATTAAAAGAGGCCCCATGCTTCTGGGGACGTCACACTTCTGCTTTCTGGTTTGTTTTGCATGGTGACACTTTGAGGAAAAGCCCACTTCCCTAATTGTAGGCATCGTCCAGCAGCAGGAAGCACTCTGGCTTGTTGATACCTGTCTTGTGCATTCTCTGTTTCAGCTGTCTTCCTTTTGAAATACTCCTCTCAGATTTGTGTGCTTCATCCCTTCCCACATTCTATACCCCCCAGCGCCTGGGATTCCAGACCTGCATTTGAATCCAGGAAAGGGAGGTAGGTCAAATCTGTGGGAATGAAGCATATTTAGAAATCCTAACCTCAGGCTCTGTGCATCTGTGGGTATCTGTAGGAAAGATACTTTGGTTTCATGCCTGTGCCTGCCTTTCCTCACCCCTGCCACCAGCATTTTCCCACGGAGCACATGTCTGTCTTGAGCTGCAGGGTTTAGCGGTTTGCCATCTTGTCTTGCCTGCAGTTGTGATGCAGCTAAACCATTCTTCTTTCCTTCCTATAGCCTTGACCACTTTTAAGCATTGGGTGTATTTATGTCTCAGGTTTATGAAAGACAATTATAAAATATCAGGAGATCATCATAAGCTTCTGTAATATCTTGCAGTCCTGAGTCACCCACAATTATTTTTTAACTGGCTGGGAAAAAGGAATGCTGGTGATTTTTTAAATAGACATTCAGTAAAACTCTAGATATTTCCTAATCCAAATTCACTGTGTCCTTTTTGCTTAAGTCAGGTATTTTGGTTTCTCTAGCAGATGCAGGGTCCCCATAAAGGTTATGCTGGTGAGGTAGTGATAGAAAAGTAAAACAGAGCCTGAAAGCTGGAAACTTCAGCAAAGCACGAAGACACAGATGAGCGATGTCACGTCTGCTGGCTGTTGTCATTGCTGTCTGCTGTGACCTCACCTCTCTGTGTTGAGAGTTAACATTTATGTTGACACCAAAGTATAATATCTGTTACCTGTGTTAATTATGGCAAAGAGGGCATAGAAAAGAGATTTCTGAGTGTCTCCTGTGGAGCTTGAAAATTTATATGTGTTGGTTGAGATAGATCAGCCTTTACTTGAATAGGAAAGGGTCTTGGGATGGGTGCCAGGGCAGGATCGAGGAAAGCCTGTGACCGTGCTGCACTTATCGTCCCTGTGTGATTTGCCTAGATAAAAACAAGGCAGTAAGATCTATCGGGCATTTTCAATGGGAGTTCTTTTGTCTAGCATCTTGTTGGTTGTTTATATTTTTCCCCAGACAAGACTGAATGAGGAGGTGGCCCTGGGACATGGTAGATGGTGCGGTTCACTGGGGAGATGTCATTGGCCCCACTCAGGGTCAATATGGTCCCAGACTGCTGGCTGCAACCCCACCCTGTCCTCTTCTGCTCAAGAGAACATGCAAGGGACATTGCTAAGTGGCGACCTTGGTTGTAACCCAGTGTTCAGTTAATTATTCACAAAGGCTGGCTCTTTTTAATTACCAATTGTGCATCCCTTCCCCCTCCTCTGTGCACATCTGTGTGATGAGGCATATACTTCTTCCTGGTGGAGAAGAACAGCAGAGATGTCTCCCAGGTGAAGCCTACAGCCCGCCCAGTCACCAGCACAGCACAGTGACTTGACTGTCTTCCCTGGCTCCCTTCCCCATCCATGGCAAGTGGCAGCCCAGTTCTGGCCCACCTCCTGACTGCTTCTCTCCCTGATCCTGGAGGTGAATGTGGTCAACTTGTTTCCCTCTCACACTGTAGCACTTGAACAGGGCAATACTGGATTATAGCAGAGGTTCTCAGACATTAGAGTGCTTAAAAATCACCTGGGAGGCTGTTTGAAATGTACACTTCTTGTCTGTATGCCCTGTTTGCTGGATCTGATGTGGGCCCAGGACCCTGTTTTCCAGAAGGGAGTCTGAGGTTGGGGCAGCCTGAAGACCACATGTAGGAAGAACTGGACATGTGGGCTTTCATGAGCCAGAGTTCTGCCAAGAACTAGAATCTGCAGGTGGCTTTGGCCAGTCCCACTTAGAGGCAAGAAGAGGTGTGGATGGTAGAGAACCTGGAAATCACATAGTCCCCAGGATGAAAGTGGGACTCTTGGACCAGATCCTTGTTCTCTTCCTTTTGTGAGCCATTTCTACCTACCTGTTTTCAGGGTCGCAGGAGGTTCACTTTTCTCTCACATGGCACCTAACATAATGACTTGCACATGATAGATGCTCAACAAGCATATTGAATGAATCAGTCATTTAGATTGTAAATTAAATGCACCAGATGGGCTGGCTGTTTATTTATAACTAACCATGTTGAGAGTTAACATTTATGTTGACACCAAAGCATAATATCTGTTATCTGTGTTACTTATGGCAAAGAGGGCATAGAAAAGAGATTTCTGAGTGTCTCTTGCGGAGCTTGAAAATTTCTACGTTATGGTTGAGATAGATCAGCCTTTGCTTGATGCATTTTCAAGTCTTTTAAGTTCTGAAGGCACAGCAAGAGAATTTGGTGTTGAAGGTTTGGGTTTGGATAATGTTTTCAAGTATTTCAATATACCTCTATTTCTAAACATTAGTAAAAATCATGCCTCATGCCTGCCATCCTTAGCTTCATTTTTTTGTTTCTGAAATGTGTATCTCTGTATACTAAGAAGTCTCCTATGCTTCCTGCAAATGTAGGAAAGTCAACTGCTCAGCAGAATGTGCACAGTGTAAGGCTGTGCCTTGGGGATCAGGCGTCGTGTGCAGTGTGATGCACAGGCAGGCTTCAGGGAGGCTTGGGGACAGGCCTCAGGATGGTGTCCTGGAGGGCAGGTGACACCTGCTAATGAAGCCAGTGGAGTGGATGCGAGGCCACCTCAGACCCTGAAGCTGGGCCTGTTCCTCAATGCTGAGGCCACAGGTCTGTGTCCACATGTTTTCTTTTGCACTATGGGATCCTGCCACACAAGGCAGTGCCCTCAGCCCTTTGCAGACAAGTCAAACACGGTTGTCTGCAGAGTTTGGTGCTGGGTAGGGTGGTCCCACCATATCGCCCCTTCCTTGGTCATTTCTCTGTAACTAATCAGCCAGTCCCTGACCAGCCCAGCAAGATCGATTTTTCCCTCTGGATAGGCTCATTCCTCTTTCTTATGAAAATTAATCTAACCCACAGATGAAGTTTCCTTTAACCCAAGTTTTTACACTTAATTTTCTCAGCTTCAAGCTTCAGAGGAAATTCCCAGGCGCATCTTGACATGGCTGCTTTGCATTGAGGGGGCTGTGTGGTTTGAGTGTGATGAGCCTGGATATCCTTCTGCGTGGTGCTGATTTTGTTCCCTTAAATGGTATGGGTTTGGCAGCAATGTTTCCAGGTGTCTTTTCCCAGAGAACCGCTTATCTCCCCGACTGTCACCTCAGTCTGCATGATAGGAGGGCTCTGATGGCCCAGGGATGTGAAAGTGAACCACCTTCAATTGCCAAGCACTGCTGGAACTGTGCACTACAGGAAGTTGAGGGGGCTGGGGTAGGGAGCAGCACCTGCAGGAGCCATGCTTCAGTGGGTCTTAAGAAAAGCAGAAGCTGGAATCTCAGGGCTGAGGCCCCTTGATAACTAGGACAGATCGGGTAATAAAAAGGGGTACAGAGACATAGGCTACCTCTTCTGGTTCCATGCCAAGCTAGAAAATGAACACAGATTTATGAGATAAGGGTAATATATTTAAGAACACAGTCTTACATAGAAAAAACTATTTTCCCAAAACGTCCAAGACAAATTTATATATCTTTATGGATGAGGTTGGGTCTTTTCAGGGAAGATCGGGGAGATGGAAGGGAAATTACCTATCATCAGTACTCATTATTCATGGATTCCATATTTCCGCATTCACCTACTTATTTAAATTTATTTGCAACCCCAAAATCAATATTCACAGCACTTTTGTAGTCATTTGTGACATGCCCAAATCAGTGACAAATTTGAGTCACCCAACACAGATGCTGAGGTTGCATAGTGACACTCTGCTTTCTTGTTTTGGCTCCTATAAACACATTTTCTTTTGTCATGGCCCATTTAGTCCATGCTTTTTGCGTTTTTGTGCTTTTTGGGGGGTGATTTTGCTATTTAAAATAGCCCCAGGCTCAGTGCTAACATACTTATTGTCTGGTGTCTCTAAGTGCAAGAAGGCTGTGACGTGCTTTACAGAGAAAATATGTATGTTAAGGAAGCTACTTTCTGGCATGAGTTACTGTGCTGTTGACCATGAGTTCAAGGTTAATGAATCAACAATATATATGAAGTAAATATCTTTAAATAGAAATACACATAAAACAAGGTTCTGTATTGACTGATTTCACAAAAATGTTGTAACCAGAGGATCACAAGAACCTAACCCCATATTTCCCTAGGAGCAACTGTTCAGGATTTGCAAATTCAATTTTCATGGTAACTTTATAGAGCATAACTACTGTGAATAACAAGAAGCAACTGTATTTTGTTTCATACGTAAGATGGAAAGAGAATAGAGCCAGAAGTAGTGATATTGATGAGATTAAGAGAGGGCAAAGAAGAGAAAGAAATGACACTATGAAGATTTATGAGTTAAAATGTTATTAGTGACAATAAATTAACCTGAACTTTGGCATCAGCCTTTGATCCTGGTTCCCATAATCTGTAAGTGTGAGGTCCAGATACTGTGGCCTCTAACCATTTTCTACAGGTAAACGTGGACATGAAGGAAGATAGGTTGAGGCAGGCAACTTCCGGGAGCATACCCTGGGCTCAGCTCCTTCCTTCCTAACCTCTATTCTACCTCCACTTACCTCTTCAATGCCAGAAAGTCTTCTTCTGACTCTGTGGGAGCCCAGCTTCTAACACTTAGCTCATTCACTCACCAGCCTTTGCTGTCAACAGTTCATTCACATATTCATTTAAATATCTATTAAGCACTGTTTCTTCTCTCGCCCAACTCCATTGCACATGCTGTATTAATTATCTGTTGCTACATAACAGATCATTCTAAACTTAGTGGCCTAAAACAATAATCACTTATTATTGCTCATAATTTCTGCAGGCCAAGCATTTCGGGCCCTCTGTAGGGTTGCAGTCAGGTGTGGGCCAGGGCTGCAGTCTCATCTGAAGGCTTGACAGAGGATGGAGGATCCTCTTCCAAGGTGACTGCTTGTACGGCTGGTCACTGAGTGCCAGCTATTAGCTAGGGGCCTCAGTTCATTACCAGACGAGCCTCCCCAAAGAGTTGCTTGAGCATCTTTCCAACAAAGCATCTGCTTTTTCCAGAGTGAGCAATCCAAGCCCTGAGGAAAAGTGTTAAGGGCTTTCATGAGCTAGCCTCAGAGACCCCACATTGTCACTTTGCAGTCAGCCACTCTGTGTTCAAGGGGTGGGAGTACCAGGAAGTGAGGATTGTTTGGCACCATCTTGGAGGCTGCCTGCCATGTATACATTTTAACTCTCCAACAAAATTTGAAGGCTGAAGACCCATACTTAAAGTGGCCTTGTTCTAGGTGGTATGGAAGAAAATTGTAAACATACTTACACTAATGCGGTGTCTATTCTAGTGGGTTTGGGGAACATAGACTAGGAAAAAGAAAAAGAACTAAAACTCCAAGATGGACAGGGAGCTGGGTGGGTTAGTGTTAGGTGGGCCTGTAGAACTCAGCCCCTCTTCATCATGTTGGCATTCATGCTGGCTGTTCCTCTGTAGGAGATGAATTTTTCCTCTGCCAGAGGGATGGTCTCTGGACAGCTTGTTTCTCTGCTTGCCCGGGTGTGAGCATCTGTGCCTAATCTTCCCATCAGACTGCCCCTAGAAATATGACTTCTTACTTAGCTCAGAGGGTATCTGAAACATTGTGCTTATGGTGGCAAGCATGGATCTATTGCTCTCCATCTGTAAAGTTGCTGCCTGATGAGGTAGAACTATGTAAATGATACTTTCCCAACTAAACGCATTTTAAAGGGCAAAGGTTGTACAGTCAGCCTTAGTCCTGACATAGGGGAAATGGACCATGGAAGTCTGGTTGGAAGAGAAGATTGAAACATGCCAGTAAGTGCAAAAGGATACAGTACAATTCAAATAAAACATATGGAAGACGTGAGGATGCTGGTGGGATATGACAGGCTCATCCATTTCTGTGGGCTCCAGGAGGGTGGCTGGCAGGGCTCCTTGGGTGTGGGGCAGAAAGAATCAAAGCCTGTAGAATAAACCTGGCTCCTTTCTAGACTGAATTCTTCACGTTGTGTCATATGCAAGGTAAAGACTGACTGGGACTAGAGAGGATTTTGAGGTAAGGAAGCATTGTCTTTGGTTCAGTCTAAGCCTCCATTGACTTTCTCTACCATCTTCAGGTGGGGGTGGGCATGTCTGTCTGTCCCCCGACCTCATGCACACACATGTACACACACACACATGCCTTCTTTTGACATGTGGGGCTGCCCATGCTTTTCTCTTTTCTCTTCTTCATCTCACCATGACTTAATCCTTCTCTGTTCTATTCAAAGTTCCCACTTGAGAGGGTCCAGTTGCCCTGGCAACCCCTTCACACTCCCCATTCATGACTGCAATTAATTACAGTGGCTTTGGTGTACTGTCATCCCCTTTTACTGGTGAGGAACTCTGGTGCTGTGGTGCCCAGGTCACAGGGAGCTGGGACGGGTCACCAGCATTCTTGATTCTTACCTCCGCACCCCTGGCTTTGCTGCTCTCTGGGCCAGTAGAACCACCTCTATGGGGTTCCATTCCTTTCCAGCCCTCCTTGCTCTTTGTTCTTGGTGATGATGTTAACAAATTATATAGGGGAATATTTGCTTATCTAATTTATTGGTAAAAAGGCTAGAACAAGCTTACCCAACCTGTGGCCCAAAGGCCACATGTGGTCCAGGACAGCTATGAAGGTGGCCCAACTAACGTTTGTAAGCTTTTTAAAAACGTTATCAGATTCCTTTCCTTTCTTTTTTGTAGTTCATCAGCTATTGTTAGTATATTTTGTATGTGACCCAAGACAATTTTTCTTTTTTCAGTGTGGCCCAGGGAGGCCAAAAGATTGGACACCCCTGGGCTAGGGCAATAGAAGGGGCACATCAGATTTGTGTCCACAACAGCTGACACAGTGGTTTTCAGTCAGGGGTAAGTTACCCTTAGGGTAACTTAGACTTGTCAATATCTGGAGATGGTGTTTGGCTGTCATGAATCGGGAATGGGGTGCCATTGGCATCTAGTGGGGAGAGGCTAGGGGTGCTACTAAACAACCTGAACTGGACAAGACAGCCCTGACCCTACACACATGACAGAGGAGAATCCAGCGCAAATGTCAGGAGTGCCAAGGTTGAGTAACCCTGAGCTAATGTGATGAATGGTGCCAGATGGAAAGTGGTGAAACCATCATAAGGAGGGGGTGCAGCGTAAAGGCAGCTGTCTTAATTTGCCAATTGAGGGTGGGGGATGTGTTCTGACCACATGCTTTTGAAAAGGGAAGTTGTTCATTCTTCAGAAGCCCAGCGGGGATGCTGGATGGCTGGGGCACCACTGGGGCTGGTGCACTTTTAAGAGGGGCCTGGACGATGTGAAATTGTTTGGACAAAATGACCAGGACAGTGAGAGGTCTTGAAATAATGTCAAGCCAGGAGGAATGCATTGCCTTGGAGTGACTTCCAAGAGCAAGCATTTGCAGGTTGTTTTGGGGAAGCAGAACTGGCTGTGTTCTGTTTGTCCCGCGGGCAGATGGAAGATGGAGGATGAAGGAGAGATGGGGAAGGGGAGATGGGGAATCAGATAAGAAAGTGTTTTGTAACAGAAGCATCAGGCACACAGTGGAGTCAGTTCCCTTCCCTTAAGAGGCCAGGAGCTCATGTGGGGACCAAGCTCCATCTGATGCAGCTGCAGGGCTGGGGCATCTAGAAGTTTAGTTTCTGGGGCTCTCTGACTCTGACCCTGTGAGTCTCCATCTGGACACACAGCAATTGCATGTTTAGCATTTTTATAACAAAAGCAGCATACAGTTGACCCTTGAACATTATAGCTTTGAACCGTGTGGGTTCACTTATATGCGGATTTTTTTTCAGCAAACATATTGGAAAAATGTTTGAAGGTTTTTGACAATTTTTAAAAACTTGCAGATGAACTGCACAGCTCGGAAACACAAAAAATGTTAAGAACAAGTTAAGTATATCATGAATGCACAAAATACATGCAGTCTATTTTTTCATTTACTACGATAAAGTATACACAAATCTATTATTAAAATTAAAATTTATTAAAACGTACACAAACACTTATAGACCACATATGGTGCCATTCACAGTCAAGGGAAATGTAAATAGATATAAAGATGCAGCATTAAATCATAACTGCATAAAAAATGAACTGCGGTACCCACTGTGCTACTGTGATAATTTCATAGCCACTTCCTATTGCTATTGTGATGCGCTCAAGAGTTGCAAGTACCTGCCTAAATTACTGTGTGGTGCTCATCATCTCTGCATGAGCAGTTCATCTCTCAGGTAAATTGCATATTGCAGTAAAAAGTGATCTTTAATAAGTGATCTCTTGTGGTTCTCAAGTATTTTTCATGTTTAGTGTCATACCGTACAGCTTGAATGACACCATGGGTTTCATATGAAGGGTCACAGTGAGGCTGGAAGTGCTCCCAAGGAGTCATGACATTATAAGAAGAAGCTGAATTGTGTGATGAGAATTGTAGATGGATATCTGTAGCCATGGTTGCCTGACATTTCAGATGGATGAGTCATCTTATAAACAGATGACAATAAATTTATGGTATTGATAAATCCAGTACAGTATTATAAATATTTATTCAATTCCTTATTATTTTCTTAATGACATTTTTTTCTCTAGCTTACTTTACTATAAGAATATAGTATATGATACATATAACATGCAAAATCAATTATTTATGTTGGGGTAAGCCTTCTGGTAAATAGTAGATTATTAATTGTTTTGAGGGAGTCAAAAGTTATATATGGATTTTTATCACATGTAGGGGGTCAGTGTCCCCACATTATTCAAGGGTCAACTGTATATTCCTTGTGGAAACCCTAAAACGCAGAGAGCAACATGTTTCCATTGAGCAGGATTTTTGCCAGCCTCTGGTTAAATCCTGAAGCATGACATGAGCAAGGCAGTAAAATCTCCAGACCTTTGGAGTTCACATTTTAGGGCAAGGGCAGGTTCGTGTTGAAGCTATGAAGGTAAGAGATGCTTTTGAGGGGTTAACTATGGGTGGGAGTGACCGAGGTAGGTGGAAGCAGCACCTGAGATTGGGTCATCATGATGCAGCTCTGCGAGGGGGACATTTTGCTGAGTACAGGCCTGAGAAGGAAGAAGGAGGCAGGAGAGGCCTCGACCTGGAGGCGAAAACACAGTGTGGTGGAGATCGTGAGCAAGGTGAGGCTGCAGCGCTCCTGGTCGAGGAGAACCTTGTGGGCCAGGGAGGAAGGTTTGTAATGTGATGTGGATGGAGAGGCTCCTTGTGAGCGTCATCCACCTTCGGGGTAGGGAATGGTCAGCAAGGAAAAGAAGGACCAGGCGAGATTTCCATCACCTGAGAGATGGTGGTGGCTTCCATCAGGACAGCATCAGCGGCTGTGGGGAGACACAACGGCTTGGGAATATATTTCAAAGAAAAGCTGCTGAGAGGACCCTGGAGAGCAGCTCATCTAACCTGATTTGCGGTTCTTTATCCCTGTGGCTTCGTCAGATATATGCAGCTCCTACACAAGCTCATGGTCTCCCTGCATCAGTGTGAGTGGCTGATGCTTCTGGTAGAAAATACGCTCCTTTCTGACTCAGTGAGAGAGAAGACTCCTGAAAGCCTCTAGGGTTTCATCCTCAGCAACTGCAGTGCTCTGTGTCATTTCCTCAATTAGTGGATCGAGGGAGGAATAGGTTTGCTGAGGGACTGGTATGAGGAGTCAACAGCCTCATCTGGTGTACGTGGAGGTCAAGTTGTCTGTTACACATCCAAGCGGGGACATAAGCAGACGTGCAGATCAGGAGCTCAGTGGAGAGAAGTAAAATACCTGTTAACCAACAGATATTTTTGATGACTTTTCCTGCACCAGGAGCTGTTCCAGGCATGGTGATTTGGCAGTGAACAAGGTCATCTCATTCTTGCCTCCTAGAGCTGGCCCTCTGGTGGGAAGAGTAAGACAACACTCAAATTCAGTACCGAATCATGATTTAAAGGGCTTCTGCCTTGTGGAGATGTGCTGTGGAGAAAAAATAGGCTTGGAAGGGAGGTATGCAGCCTAGGACATTGCAAAAGTTCATTTCATGGGAAAAAACACTTCCTACTACTAAGTGGACATTTATCTTGTGTCACCAACAGGTCTCAAAAGAGCAAGGGATTTTCAGTGCTTTGAGGAGCTCACCTGACACCTGAAGACCCTCCTTGCTGAAACGCGACCTGCACAGGTGTGCACTGAGGTGCCAGACCCAGCAGGCTGAGGGGCACAGGTGGAGTTCAGGAGGAGCTGAGGGCCCTAGTTTGTTTCTCATTTTGGTGCTTTGGATTGAAGTAGTTTCACACGTGGAAAAAAATAACTGGAATGTTGAATTAACAAAAACTAGGGGGCAAGTTCTAAACACTATTGAGATGAAAATGGTCCCAGAGAATGCTAAAGAGAATCTGAGCCATGGGCTCTCCTTGTAGTCAGAGTGAAGTGTCGTGAGCTGCAGAAGCAGCAGGTGGAAAGGCCGAGTCTGTGTGTGCCGGAGAAATGCATACAGGTGAAAGTCACCGGCTCCGTCCCTGTTGCAGGTGGTGGGGGCGGCAGAGATGTCTCAGCTGTGGCTGAGACAATGGCTGAGGGAAAAGCGAGACTCTCTGGATTTTCCATACTGAGTGAGTGCTGATATCTGAAAAGTAAAGCTGAGATCAGCAGCCTGGGCCACCGTGGGCAGTGGCTGGAGATGGCCATCTCCTGCCAAGGTGGCCTGTGAAAGAGGAGGTGGGAGACCAGAACAAGGCCCCGGGGCAGTGCCGGTGGGTGCCTGTCCCAGGAAGGTATGCACAGCGGCAGACATTGTTTATTTCCCCAATTACATAGCCCAAAAATGTCGCATAAGCTGTCCTTGCAGTGAACCACTGATTCTGCCCAAACCGTCACCCACAGCCAGGTCAGCTCCAGCACAGGAAGTCACATGGCCAGAAAAGGGCCATCAGCCACATCAGTGCTGACACTGAGTGCAGCGCATTCTTCTGCCACCTACTTGGGAATGTCTCTGCAATGCACCATCGAAGCCACACAGGGTGTCCCCGGCATGTGGCTGGAGGCTGCTGCAGGTCTGCAGATGCTCCCCGAGACCTGGCCACGGCTTCCTTTCCTGGCCTATCTCGCTTCCTTTCCATTCACATCAACATGGGATTCATGCCTAAGTGCCAGCAGCCATGAGATTATTAGTGACAAGCCAATGAATTTTAAAAATAGTAGCTATGTTAAGATTTATATAAATTAAAAAGCATTTGCTCACATTTTATTTAAAATTTTGTTCCTACAAAATTACTAGCTCAGTTGGAGCTGATGGTGCAGTCTGCTATTCTGCAACTACATAGAAAGTAACCTGGGCCCTGCAGAGGGGACACGAGCATCAGGGCCAGGTACGTAGCGAGAGGGGTGTTTGAGCTGGATCTGCAGGGATGACAGAGGTGGCTGAGGGGAAGAGCTTCGTTCCCCAGTGGAAAGCATGTGTAGTGACGATGGGAAGGGCCAGCCACAGCATCCCAGTGCAGTCCAGTGTGGTCTGTGGACTGGGCATGTTGGAAGAGGCAGGGAGGGCTGAGGTGTGCTTTGAGGGAGGACTGGGCAGCTGGAGAGGGAGGTGTTAGGAAGCAGGAGGCAGAAGGCGAGGGGTGAAGGGCAACAGTGGAAGGGACAGGGTTAGCCCAGGCAGGGGTCATGGATATAGGCAGTAAGAAGCATGCACCAAGGACACTTGGAAGACAAACCTCAGAGAATGCAAGGCCTGCAGAGGACCCCTGTGTTCCTGGCTGGGGCACCACCTGGGCAGGGAAGGCAGAGAAGATAGAAAGCCTAGTCTCAGATGGTGTCAGAGCCCAGCATCCACATTGTCGGGGCTGCAGGAACAGCAGTTCCCCAGGCCCTGGGTGTATCAGAGCCCCCAGGCCATGTGGAAGTCTGAGATGTGCTGGGCTGCAGCGAAACATTGGAAATGAGGTTGTAGGCCTGAGAAGACCCACTGCAGGAAAAGGGTGGAATGGGGGAAAGGCAGGCTGAGGGCCGTGGCTGACCTGCAACCAAAGCACTGTAGAAAGTTTAGCCCGAGGGGAAAGCAGTTGGAAGAGAAGTGTTTCTTCCAAGAGACTCACAGAGCACTGTGTTTCCAGAGATGTCTTTTTGTTACCAGCACTCTTAGACTCAAAAGTAAATGTGGACATACTTTTAAAAACAAAAAGACCTGCTAAGAGATGAATTTTTGGAAACTTGTTGGACAAAGAAAAGTAATTGATAGTCAACTGCTATGAGAGGCTAGCCAGGAAATGATGATTAATATCCTCAAATTATAAGAAAACCCACACCTCATTGGGGGTCGCCCAGGAGAACTGATGCGAGGATAAGGTCTGGGGAAACCTCTGTCGCCTGTGTTAGGCTGACAGTCTTACGTTTTGTAGCCCCTTGTAGGAGAGCGCAGATTGAGAATAAGCTGCTTCACATTGTTGTAGTGTGGGGTCTGTGGTGTGGTGCACTTCATATGTGTGTTTTGTGTGTGTTGTGTATAGTATTGGTGTGTGTGTGTGTGGTGTAGTTTGTGGTGTGTGTGTAACGTGTGTGATGTGTAGTGTGCATGTAGTGGTGTGTTTCCTGTGTGTTTTGTGTATGTCATATGTATATAGTGTTGCATGTGTTATGTGTAGTGTATTGTTTGTGTAGTCGGTTGTGTTTAGTGTGTATGTAGTTTGTGTGTGTATGGTGTGTGTTCAGTGTATGGTGTGTGTAGTGTGTTGTGTGTGTAGTGTGTATGTAGTTTGTATTTGGTGTGTGTGATGTCTGTAGTGTGTTGTGTGTGTGGTGTGCATGTAGTTTGTGTGTGATATGTGTGATGTCTATAGTGTGGTGTGTATGTAGTGCATGTGTGGTATATGTTCGTAGTATGTGTGGCATGCATGTAGTGTGTGTGTGGTATGGGGTGTGTATGTGTAGTGTGATGCATGTAGTGTGCATGTAGTGGTGCGATATGTTTCATGTGTTTTGTATGTACAGTGTATATGTAGTGTATCACGTGTTGTGTGTTGTGTATTTTGTGTGTGTGGTGTGTATGTAGTTTGTGTGCATGGTGTGTGTGTGATGTGCACAGTGTGCCTGTAGTTCACGGTGTGTGTGTGTAGTGCATGTGTGGTGTCTGTAGTGTGTGTGGCATACATGTAGTGTGCATGTGATATAAGGTGTGTGTGTGTGGTGTGTGTGTAGTGCATGTGTGGTATATGTTTGTAGTGTGTGTGGCATGCATGTAGTATGTGTGTAGTGTGATGTGTATAGTGTGCATATAGTAGTGTGATGTGTTTCATATATGTTTTGTGTGTATAGTGTGTATGTAGCATAGCATGTGTTGTGTGTAGTATATTTTGTGTGTGAGGTGTGTATGTATTTGTGTGGTGTGAGTGTGATGTACACAATGTGCTTGTAGTTCATGGTATGTGTGTGTAGTGCATATGTGGTGTGTGTCTATAGTGTGTGTGACACGCACGTAGCGTGCATGTGGTATAAGCTGTGTGTGTGTGTGTGTGTGTGTGTGTGTGTGTGTGTGTGGAGCATGAGGGGCATGTGCTTTGCTCCCTGGATAAATGGATGAAGTCATCTAGATAATTTTCCATTCATGACCAGCCCTTTTAGTTAAATGTGCCTTGTTGGATACTTTTGGGGCTGGCAATATGTAGTATTCTCATTTATAAATATGACCGAGAGGAAACATTCTCCCTGTTGAATACGCACTGGCCACCTTCCTTTTTGTTTCTGAGATATATTTATTTACTGTCCTGAGATGTCCTCGTGGGCTGGGAACCGGCACTATCTCTTTAACCCGGGCCCTGCTGATGGGAAGTGGTGTTGCCCAGGAAGTGGTATGGAGAAGCGGGGAGGGGACAGCCTATGGGCCCCAGGCCCCGGGAGCTGGGAGGGTGTTACTCTTCATGCCTCAGGCAGCAGCTTGTTGCTGTCACAGCCCTGGGCTGAAGGTGGGAAAACCTTGTGGTGACCACAAGTTGCAGTTCCGTGTGGGTCCTCAACATGGCCTCACTTCAACCTCTGGGGCTCAGTGCCAGCGTGTGACTGACTGCTTGAGGCAGCGTCGTGCAGCTCCGGTGGGTGAGGCGGTGGCAGCGTCCTCCCTGGTACTATCACTGTGATGAGGAGTGAGCCTTCTCTAACTGCCTGGACTCGGGAGGAGCAGTTGGCTTGTGCTCAGGTCAATTCTGCCTCCTGTGTGCTGCTGGGACCCTGAGGGTGAGCCCGACAGTCCTGTTTTACAATTGTCCTTCTGTTTGCTTCTCTTTGTGGTGTGTGTGTTTTTAGAATTCTTTGTCTTCCCCCAACCCCCCAAAAAAGAATAATTTAATTTGATCACTTTCATCAACTGCTCTGATTTTAGCTTATTTAGAGGGCGTGCTGGAAGCTAAAATGATGGTGTGAGCAGAAAGACAACTGCGTGTTGGGAGGGCCGCAGAGGAAAGTGCTTCTGTTCAGAGCCGGAAGGGTTTGTCTCCACTTTAAAAGGGTGTGAGTGGTTTTAGCAAACGTTCCCTGCCACGTGGGTTCCTCACCAAAGTTCTCTCTCTCTTGCCCAGGTGGACACCTGCGCAGGTGTGCGCCCTCTGGCCCCTGAAGCATGGCCGGCAGCAGCATGGCTGACAGTGCCAACCACCTGCCCTTCTTCTTCGGCAACATCACCCGGGAGGAGGCAGAAGATTACCTGGTCCAGGGGGGCATGAGTGACGGGCTCTATTTGCTGCGCCAGAGCCGCAACTACCTGGGCGGCTTTGCCCTGTCCGTGGCCCACGGGAGGAAGGCACATCACTACACCATCGAGCGGGAGCTGAACGGTACCTATGCCATCGCCGGTGGCAGGACCCACGCCAGCCCCGCTGACCTCTGCCACTACCACTCCCAGGAGTCCGATGGCCTGGTCTGCCTCCTCAAGAAGCCCTTCAACCGGCCCCAAGGGGTGCAGCCCAAGACTGGGCCCTTTGAGGACCTGAAGGAAAACCTCATCAGGGAATATGTGAAGCAGACGTGGAACCTGCAGGTGGGTCACAGCTGGTCCTGCTACCCGGGCGCAGGGGGCCCTGTGACCCCACACGGACTTCCCAGCTACGTGTCCTGTGTGCCTAAATAACACAGCCATCTCCTTGGCATCAACTTTGGCCAAAAAAATACCTCTCTCTAATACGAGCCTTTCCTCTTTTGCAGCCACAGTTGAGAGGGTGGGCCCCTTTGTGCTAGCAATGTGAGTTTCTCCACTGCAGGGAAAACACCGTTACCCAGCACATGGAAGGCCTTTTCGGAGAGGCATTGATAGGTATCGATTGGTTTCTGTTTAGCTGGCAAGGTCCTACTGTGCACACTGATAGGCACTTAATTTTATAGCTTCCTAATATCTCTTGCAGAACTTTCTGTATCAACACATATAGTAGCTGCATTGCCCATTCTTTGGCTATCTGGTGTCACTTGCTATGCACCACAGTTTATTTAACTAGTACCTATTGATGGACACATTTCCTGTTTATGAATAAACGCTGTTAATAACATTGCTCTAGACCTATCATATACTACACTTGTATGTAGATCTGCAGGATAAAACTTTGAAAGAGTTGGCTTTGCCACAGCAAAGGATATGTATGTTTGTTTTTTTATTTTTTGAGACAGAGTCTGACTCTGTTGCCCAGGCTGCAGTGCAGTGGCGCGATCTCAGCTCACAGCAACCTCCGCTTCCTGGGTTCAAGTAATTCTCCTTCCTCAGCCTCCCGAGTAGCTGGGATTACAGGCATGTGCCACTGCAACTGGCTAATTTTTGTATTTTTAGTAGAGACAGGGTTTCACCATGCTGGCCAGACTGGTCTCAAACTCCTGACCTCAAGTGATCCACCCTCCTTGGCCTCCCAAAGTGCTGGGATTACAAGCGCGAGCCACTGTGTCCGGCCATATTACTTTTATTTATACACTTGAAAGTCCTTAAGTAATGTGTAAAGGTCTTTCTGGTTTTATTTATTGAATGAATGAGTGAATAAGGTTTGATTCTGTTTTACCATGCTAGGACTTGAGATAGATTGGATCATTTTCATTTTTCCTCGGTGTGGTTTACTCTGCTCTGCTCTCCACGTGGCAGGGTCAGGCTCTGGAGCAGGCCATCATCAGTCAGAAGCCTCAGCTGGAGAAGCTGATCGCCACCACAGCCCATGAAAAAATGCCTTGGTTCCATGGAAAAATCACTCGGGAAGAATCTGAGCAAGTTGTCTTGATAGGATCAAAGACAAACGGAAAGTTCCTGTGAGTATTCTGCCTTCCCCTCACCTCCTGCCACCAGGCTTATGTGGACAATTGGGAATAGTTCAGCTTCCCCATGACTGGCCTCACATGACCCTGGGAAGGGGCCATACATTGTCATTGGACAACACGCATGCTTGCCTGTCCTAAAGACGCTTCTAACTGAAGCTATCCCTTGTGACCCAGTGTTTATTTTGCGCAGTCTGATTCTAAATGAGCACGCCTTTGGGGCGCTGAGGGACATAATATGTAAAGAAAATGTAATTCAGCCCCATGTTCTCCTTTTAATTTTAGTTATCCAACGAAAATAAAAATAACTGCAGTTTGCTCACTCAAAGTACCCCCTGGATCTCAGACTTTACTTCTGCTATTTTCACTTGAAACAAGGTGCCAACAGGAAGGACATTAAGGAAAATTTCCTGGGAGTAGCGTCTGTGAGTGGTGAGCACAGGTCCGTGGGCTTCAGCCTTAGGTACACGATCATTAGCAGGTCTGTCTGAATCCTGGGTTCTGTTTGCTGTCCTCAGTGGTTCAATATAAATCTAATTGTAGAAGTTTCTGAGATACAGCCCAACTTGGGCAGTCAGTTGTCCAGAGAAGGTAAGGAACTGTCTTTGGGAGGTGTCAACCTTGTTCCCTGGAGGTGTTCTGGTCAAGGTGGCCCAGCGGGGCGGTTGTCCCTGGGGGAAATGATCCCCTGTGTGTGTCACCTCTCGGTGTCCCTACAGAGATGCTTGCCTTGGAAACAACCAGAAACAGCGATGCAGCCTCATGGTCAGGCAGTTGATGAACCCCCACTTGACTTTGTAAACATTTCCCAGATTTAGAAGTGTTTTCCCTGCATGTCTTTCTATTTAAAGGAGTTTCCTCAGACTTTACCATCAGACCTTGTATCTTAAAAATGATCTTATCTGAGTGCCGTGGCATGCACCTGTAGTCCCAGTAATCTGGAGGGGAAGACGAGAGGATGCTCGATCCTCACTATGATCTCACTATGGTTTGAGGCTGCCATGAGATCAGTTTGGGCAACATAGTGAGACCCTGTCTCAAAAAAAAGAAAAAAAAAAAGAAAAAGAAAGAAAAGGAACATGATACTCTTAAAAAGAAGAAGAAAAATAGGAAGAGTGGCCCGGGTGGCCACGTGGCAGCGTGTAGAGTGATGGTTTTTCGTGGGGTGCGGCACCGGCCAGCGGCCCAAATGCTGTGGGAGGGGAAGACATTTCCCCTCGGTGGTTGCACCTATGGCTAATTTGCCTGAGGTTTGGCTTCTACCATCTTCTCAGCAATAATTTCCAACATGAATGTCATGGGACAGTGCACACTGGCATCTTGGGGTGTGAAGTCAGCCCAAAATAGCATAATCCGCAAGATGAGACTGGCTGACTTCCTGCTGGCTAAGATGCCTGCTCATAGCCTCTTTGGCCATGAAGCCGTTTCTTTATTCAGAGTTGTCTATTCCTGAAAACGGCAGTTTGCGCCCTTCATGGCCACGACTTCTGCTCACTCCTTCCTTTCCCGGGGACATGTATAAACCCCATGCAGAAGGCAGGAAGGTGCAACTCTTGTTTGACAAACATGCCTCGTTCCCTGTCTGCCCTGTACAGAATGACCTCTCCTTTGTCCTCACCGCACATGTCCCCGGACACTGGGCCTTATGGTTTATACGAGAGAGTCTCAAACTTGCTGTACTTCCTATTCAGCTGGCGTCAGAGCTAGCCAGGCATGGGCCTGTGGGGAGAAGCCTGGGCTTCTGCAGTTTCACCCAGCGGCCCCTCCTTAGTTGTTCTCTTGGCCTGAGTTCTTATTCCACCTTACATTGCTGTTGCCCAGTTATCACCCTATATTTGCCAACCTCCCAGATAATAACTCCCAAGGCTTTCTCCCCTGCGTTGTCCACAACACACTCCCGCACCTTCCCGTACTCCCTCCACACCTGCAGGGCTCACCCGTGGACTGACAGTGCATAGCACCCCACACCCAGACCTGGCATCAGGCAGGGCATTAGTGAGAGGGAAGAGCAGAGCTAAGCCTGGGCAGCAAAAGCCAGCTTCAGAATGCATATTCCCGTGACGGTTGTAGAACCTTAGGCTGTGGGGAAACTTTCCCCAGGCCCTGCTCCTCTGGGTCTGTGACTGTCTTGAGGATTCAATGAAAACGCGCACCACGTGCACAACATAGCACATGTGATCATCACGTGTGTAGCTTTTCTTCTGTCTTCAATGCTCTTTCTCCATCATGAGCACCAGCAAAGTCTCCTTGTCAGGGTATCTTATGGTGTTTTTAACAGAGAAAGTGTGAGGAAACACCCTGGAAATTTCACCTCTTGGCAAACTTTCATCTCCTACAGAACTTGGCTGGGGTTCTTAGCTGTTGCTGGGTGTGTAAACCTTCCTCTTTGAAGGGTAGTAGGCGTGTTATACTGTGAGTGTTTGAATATGGTCGTGTATGCTTGTGAAGAACATGGGGAGTTTGCCACTGTACTGAATACAGTGCAAATCTTCCCTGCTTCCAGCACGGGGCAGGGTCTGCATCCATGAATACAATGTCTCCCAAGTCCAGGTTGCCTAGACATTGGTCCAGGTGTGTTTCTTTCATGGAAACAGAGCTAAAGCCTCCAGGGAACTCTTGTAAACCCTCACTAGATCCTGTGGCTCCCCTCTCGGTGTGAGTGCATCAGCTCCTGATTCACTGCGGGAGTCTGTCCTATATTCCCCTGTTGGGTCATGCCAAAGTTGCAGGAAGTCCCAGACCTGGTTTTGAGTCATCCAAATCTGGCCTACTTGCAGAGAGTTTTACAAAATGTCCCTTATTTGCAATGAATAGCCACAGCACAGGGTCTTTGGAGTCAGAACTAGATTGCAGTCACTGCTGGATGTCCTCAGTGAGCCAGCTGCTGTTTTTTTCCCACTGTTCTTGGGCCCTCATTCAGATTCTCCTAAAGAATGCGCTCATGTCTACTTTCCAGTCATTGCGTCAGCCTATCCATCCATGGACCAACATTACCGGAGTCTGTAGTTGCGTGAAAGCCTAAGCGCCAGGCACCATTCTGGACTTTGGGAAGGGAGAATTCAAGCAGCAAACACCTGTCCTTGTGGAGTCTGCATTTCAGTGAAAGGACAATGAGCAGTGAGAAAGAACTGCACTTAAGTAAGGGCATAGAACACACTGGGGTCGGGGAGCTGGGGCTTTTTTAATGCTGCGTGGGGAGGGAGGGCCTTGCTGCTAGAGAGACCATTGAGCAGAGGCCTGAAGGCAGCAAGAACCATCCCCACCCAGGGAACGGCACATTCACCTGCAGTGGCCTTGACCGCACTTGGATGCATACACGGCATACACCAAATGTCTGGTCATCCATGCAAACTCTTCCCGTCCCTGCATCACAGCTGAACCACGACCTCTGCACGTGAGTCATTCTTCTGCAGATGAGAAGGCCAGGCAGGTCCCTCTTATCCTTCCCTTCTGTTATTCAGTCTGCAGGACATGGGTTTATTTCCACTCGGTGGCTGTGAATATATAGAGAGTCGCAGTCTGATCATAAAAGAATTCACGCTAGGCTTTTGCTTTTATGAAGTGACAGACTTAAATAAAGAATAACTATTTCACAGAGGGAGTTGGAAGTTTATTTCTGCATTGCAAGCCGTAAACTAATCAAGAGGATTTTACTAGCTTGGTGGATAATATGGACAAAACCCCAGCAGTTACTCTTCACACTTTCATCATGAGTACTAATATGCCATCTTCGCCATTCAGTTGCCAGCATTTCAGCCTAAATATCACGTTACGTGGAAAGTGGTATTGATAAGAATTGGATTAAAAGACAGAAAAAAAAAAAAAGAACTCCTAAAAGACGCGCATCACCATGGCCATCACAAAATGCCTTTGCGCAAACAGACCTTGAAAACACTGAGGGTAAGGCAGCATATTTTGGAGGTCTAGATCTGATTATAAATCCTTGGTAACGCAGTTCAAAATGCAGATGATGGAAACAGATTATGTCTGGGAGATGCTGTTCAACTCGGATCCCAGTTTTCTCTCCTCATGAACTATACGTGAATTCCACTTACGGTGTCAGCACACCTGAGCCAGAGGGCATTCACCACTTAATAGGGCTAAATTCCTCGTTTTTCAAACAAGAACTCAGGTGTGGAGGAGGTTATCCAAGGTTGGAAGGCAAAACCAGGTCCCTGATGTTGTCTGAAGCTAGGCAGAAACAGCAGCCAGCAACCAAATCCATCTCCAGAGACTCCACAATCACGGGCCTCACCCTCCTCCCCATGCAAAGTGTGGCGCTGGGGCGTGTCCATGTGAAATCTCAGAACACACAGAGGCATCCATCAGCTTTTCCCTCTTGTGTCCTGACCACACAGCTCACTCACACCATTCAGGAGTGACTTTGAGGAAGTAGTTACAGGGCTTTTGCACACGTACTTGAAGAATAACAAATATAAACAGAGGCTTTTTGTGGAGGGCTGTGCAGTACCAGTCGGCAGTTGTCCCTCACAGCTGTCTGCAGCATTTGTAGAGGTGATGCTCACACCTGGCCTTTGCCATAGCGGCCCTGCCCTATTCTGGGGTCTAGCTGGCCAGAAGCGAGCACTGGAAGGGGAGTCCTCCAGCCCACGTTTGGCAGGTGAGAGTCAGAGTGCTGCCTCATTGGTGATGTCAAGGACCAGGGCAAGAGAGAGGGGCTGAGTGAGGAGAGAGATCCCCTGCCCCCAGAGGCCTTGTATGACAGCACAGTTTGCTATTTTGAGAAGTTAGTCACAGCTCTCTGTGAAAAATGTATTTGTTAGGAAAAAAACAAAGGCCAGGCTCAGTGGCTCATGCCTGTAATCCCAGCACTTTGGGAAGCTGAGGTGGGGGGATCACCTGAGGTCAGGAGTTCAAGATCACTGTGGCCAACATGGCGAAACCTATTCTCTATTAAAAATACCAAAAATTAGATGGGCGTGGTGGTGGGCACCTGTAATTCCAGCTGCTTAGGAAGCTGAGACAGGAGAATT